AATTTCAGAAGTTTTTATTATACTCCACTCCCGTAGATTTATAAAGAGACAGACACTACCTGTGATTTGCTGGAAACCTGAAGAAAAATGAGCTGTTTCCCTGAAGAATCAGCAAATAAAATGAAGACATGAAAAAATATAGCCAATGCTTCTCTGGTTTATGTTGGAAGAATCAGAGAACCATGAAATTAATTTTATTTGCCATTAAAAGATACTAGACCTAGAATCCAGGATGTGATTATGTAATTATAAATTAATTTCAGTAGTATGCTCTCCTCTGAACTCAGTGTCAGCAATGGTTATGAGAAGTATCTTAATGAGCATCAGAGAAGTTTGTCTTCCTACTTGTACTCAAGATGCCCAGGGGGTAGAGATAAAGGCACCTGCAGCAAGGAGACCTACTGTGGTTTTCTAAGACTCCCCAAAGCATGTGATCAGTTTAGTAGGAAGTGACTCTCTTTAACACGTTCCCACTTAACTGAAAAGGAAGGATTACAAGGGTGTCCACAGGCCACACTTAAGTGTGAAATAAACATTATTATTACAGCAGTTGAAATGTGAAATTGAAGAACATTTCAGTTTCAAAATGGTGTTCAAGAGCATCTGATGACACATCTATATTTTAACTCTGATGAAGTGTGAAAATTAAATGGATACTCTATCAGATTCTGTTTATGAATTATGACCTCCCCCCTTAAATAAATTGTTTTTTATAGCTAGGGTGGTGTACTTCATTTGTGAAAAGACCTTTCTGGCATTCACACACTGTTTCTTATTTCTCCTAGTCATTTTATTAATTATGTATGTTTGCCGAGAAAGAGCCGAAGCATAGCTAAATCTAGAATTAAACTACATAGCACTGGGGTTTAAAATAATAGAATTTGTCATCAAGTTGACTGCCTCACATTCAGCCAGTGTCAGACTCAATGGCTGATATTTGTGCTTATGCAAAAACCTCATGGAAGAAATGACAATTCTAATTTGTAATTGACCTTTTTCTCAGAATTGTTATTCCTGCCGCTCTGCCCTCCAGAACGTGATGAGGGAAGTTGAGGCAGCTCCGGTTGTAGGGGAAGACCCAAAGAGGAGCCATTTGGGGGAGTGGCTTCTGTCCATGCCAGTCTGGGGACTCAGCTAAGCCTCCCTGCATATATGGATGTGCCCCATCCGGCTTTCTCTATGTGGAAGCCCACAGAACGTTTGCCATCCTGGTGCTTCAAGTCTTGACGCAAGGCCTTAATGCGTTCTCGGCAACAAGGTAGTTTGTGAAGTAAGATTAGATTGTAAACTGTCTTTTATAATCCTGAGCGAAGACTGCAAAGCCCAAACAGTAAATTGCTTACAGTAAAGTATCCTGTTCTGTTTTGGGTTTTTTTTGGCCTGCAGCCGGGGTACAGGCAGGTTTCTACAGAAGGAAATAGTGACATTTCAGTGATCCTGAACACTGCCTGCAGCTCCGATTTTACCACCTGGGACTCACCCATTTTGGCCAGGTCCAAGATTCTGTTGTTAGCATAGAACAGAATCATATTGTTAGTGTCCCCACTTTCTCAAAGCACACTACTGAAATCCGCGTCATGGGGGAGGTCTTATTTACCCATAGAAACAACCAGAATGTATTCTTGACAAAAGAAAGGGCACACCATGAATCTTCAGTATACCCAGCTCATGAGGAAAGCTAAATAGCTATGCTCTAAATCCCTCATTGATAAGCCCCTCTTGGACAATAAGCCCCTGAATCAGTATACTACAAGGAACAAAAACACGCAACTTAAAAAGCCCTAAATATTAAAGACATTTTGTGTCTCACAGAACAAGAATAGAGTGGGTCCACGCTGGCTCAGCAGTTTCATTATGTCTCAGGGACTCAGGCTCTCTACTTCTGCTCTCTCCTTCTTGGCACAGTGCCTGGATCCTGAGCCACGTCCCCTCAAAGTTGCAAGATGCTTGGGAAACAACAGTAGGCCAAAGAAGTGAATCATTTTCAGCATTGTGCCTCTTTCAGTGAGAGAGAAAGCCTTTCCCAGAAGCCTCAAGCAGACACCCCCTTAGGTCCTTGTCCATGGAGCACCCAGGACATTATCCTAGACCTTCCTCCTCTCTTTTATTTTCTTCATTCTCTATTACCTATCCATTCTGGTTTTAAATGATCTGTCCCCTACCCTCTGTTTCTTTGTGTACTATGTTAATTCAGATCCTTGTTAACTCTACCTGTTCTCCCTGCTTCCAGTTTAATCTTCTACGGTACCGTTGAAATGGTCTTTAAAACACAAATCTCATTATATCACTGTCCTGCTTAAAACTCTTCAGTGGTTCTTAATCACATATGCAATTAA